CCGTTACTTATCTGCTGATCTGAAATGTATCATATATCTGTTTGTGATCACCGATGATAAAGCTAATTATAAAGATATGTTGCTCGAGCGATGGGAAAACTTAAGCTATGCTGTCACGGATAAAAAGAAACCATTACTTCACTTGTCAGGGAAAAAACAGTAACTCATACGGTTTGACAGGTAACAGCCTCTTTAAAAGTGTAGTACTATAAAAAATAAGGTACTTTACAATGACTCAGACAGACAGTGGGGATGAAGAGTCCGATCAAGGATTATCTCGTCTTTAGGTGGAAGAATCTTTTATGTGTCCGATTTTTTGAGAGATAAAGTTAGTTTAGTTGCCTAATAATATGTATTTGCGAATTCATACCCAACTTGTTACACCCATCACAAAGTCAAGTCATACCCGTCACAGTTGAGTTTCGAGCATATCGAGCCCTAACCGCCAAAATAACGTAAGCGACATTTTTTTCAAAAATTTCTTTTTGATGCAGAAATATTCCTAGAGCATCTAGATGCATTTCTGCATCAAAAATAAAATTTTGTTAAAAATGTCGCTTACGTTATTTTGGCGGTTAGGGCTCGATATATTCTATAATTTCCAATAGAGGTAAGTAACTTTGGCGTAAATGTTGAAAATGTTTATTTAACTATACAACGAACTATTTAAAATCATAGGCAGAAGACATAATTAGCAGAAAAACTCTGATACAAGTAAGTAGTACTCGTCACACACGTCACAGTGACTAAAGTTCATATAACTCATTTGGATTAAATTGTTTTTGATATTTTTTTTCTAGGCATTGTGTATACCTCGTATATTACAGTTTAAGAATTAAGCCTTAAAATGTGAGTGGAAATGTCACATCCGTCACCGTGAAATGAGCCATATGTATATAAATATATGTGGATGCGTTAATATAATTTACTTTTATGCAGATGCAACAACGATATTTGCAAAAAACCATCGTCAATGCAAGCACTGAAAAGAACGACAGACTGAAAATACAAAGATTAAGCAGCGACAACAAATAACCAAAAGAAATATTCATTGGGCTTGTAGTTCTCTAATATGCATTGTATGTACAATACTAACAATAGTACAAGAAATTTGCTGAGATTTAAATTAGATGTGAGGGCACCTAATGCATTGGGTTTGTCAGACGCAGCTTGCATTCGGTGGCAAAAATTCAAAGTGAACAGTATAAATAAATATATATGCAAGCATTTGATTTCGCATATTGTTGAAACAATTGCATAACTTTGTAATAAATACCGTTTTTTTAACGATTATGGATGGAAAAAAGAAGAAAGCTCGTCAACGCAATAGACCAAAAAATAAGGGAAATCGTTCAAATAACGAACTGCGCCAAAACGAATTAAAAAATGTACTACCTGAAACTACCAAAAGTGGGGAGTTAAATGTTTGTGTTGAAGAAAATTTAAAAAATGTGGAAGAACAGCGAATAATTATTAAAGAAGCCATTGTTGAAGACCACAATGGTCCAGGATTGACCTCAGCTGAGAGCCAAGTAGCGCCTCCCCAGGCAATGTCTGATCAAAACAATAGCTTGCAGTTATTGCAACAAATGATGCGTACACAACTTTTACAAGAGCGGCAAAACAGTGAGGATAAACCTAGTTCTAGCCAATCTGAGGAGGTTTGCAAGCGGAAATCTCCAGAGGGTTCGAATTTAGATAATAGCAAAGAATGTGGAAACACAACGGATGTAAAATCGGTGACAGCAAAGAAAAGTTCTCCGAACAATAGTTTACCAGAACAGGGTGCTTTCATTACAAATCTACAAAAGAAATTGGAGGCTTCTGTGGCTAACGGTATGTTGTTTACGATTTTCATAAGCTGAATTTATTTAGTAAAAAATGCAATGCCTGCACAATGCTGCTGCGGAACTGTAAAGAAAACCAAAGATCTTTAGCGAATGAAGTTAAAAATTTAAAAGGTATAGTAATTAGAGATGGGCACGGGCTTGGCTATCGGCACAGAGCCCGATAAATTATATAGGCCGAAAAAGAATATTTGGAAATTGGAATTATTTCAAAATTTCAGTTTTGTGGGACATACAATACAATAGTTCATACAATTGGTATACAAAAAGACAGACGGAAAACACATATCTTCGCCATTTTTTTTAACCACCTATAGAGAATTAAACAAGAATTACGATGGTATAATTTTAAATCCCTAATTTACTGGTCTTCACTATGCAAATCAACTTCAAAAAGTTCAACTGTTAATAGCTAAGTTAGCTTTAGGACAATCGTGACCATCTTATATATATGTAGAAGAGCTTAGCTTTCAAATGACGTTAAGATGAAGTCTCTACGATGAGCAGAACCCGAGATATAACGATTTGAAGAAGCACATGATTAGTCAGAATCACGAAAAAGCGAAAAAAAATTCCTCGAATACGTGTTAGCTTATTTCATATATAGAACCCATACAAAAATTTTTGAGCCAATCGAAAGTGCGATACCAAATTTGGTGTCCGATATGAAAAGAATGTCTCATATTATAATAATTATTAATATTAATATTATATTATAATACATATTAATATATATTAATATTATATTAATAATTATTAAACGTGCGATGTGCAGATTGAATATTTTAGCAACCACTCCGAGTCCTAAATTGACCCGTTTTGTAGATTCACCAACGGGAAAATGATTTAAAAATGTTGCAAGTGTAATATATTGATCATTACTCTATCCTCTGCAACTAGTATGCGCCTACTTTCTTTATCTGGTAAAATACTTAAGAAAAGACGTAGAAAATCTTTTGGTTTTGCAAAAAAATTTAAATTTTGAAGTCTAGCAAAGCAGAAAAAACAATGGCGCGTATTCATAGTCCAGCAACTAAGTCGAAACTAACAAAGTTGCAACTTAAATTTAAGTACCAACTTAAAATTTACCTCTATTCACAGTCGCATTTCAGACTTCTACTAAGTAGTTTCGACTTAGTTTACGGTATAGCAAAACGAGTGTGAAAATGTATCGACTTTTCTTTACGATAATTTGGAAAAATTACATTTTTATTAAATAACTAGCCAATGCCCGCTTACTTCGCGGCGCCTAATAAGAGCTTTTGGTTGGCCAATGCAAAAGAGCGTTTAAAAACAAAATTAGTCTGTAAAGTCAAAATTTTTGATTTAAGTTGAAACCACTAAGGTGCAGTATCCTCCTCACACATAGGCCAATAATAGTAACGCTGTGATTCCATATGGAATACCTATCTCTTTTGGTGTCATGAGCTTTACCAATGGTCTTATTTCCACCTGTGAGATCTCTGCCAAGCATCCGTAATCTTTTTGTATGATCTTGCAACTACAACATTGGTGCGATGCGTATGCCAATAAAAGTTCTTATAGGGAAACTCAAGAGCACAGAAGTGAGTTTTCTGTTATAGGAGGGCCAAGAATCCTCGCTGTCCTATAGGATGAAAAGTTTTCCGGTACATTGCTAAATGAGTCGTGTGATCTGTTAAGTATCTTTCAAATGGAGCAATTGATATACCTACGGTGATCTTTCCTTGTTAATTCACCACTTTTACAAACTTAACCCCATTCTTCATTTAGACATCTGAAAACTAAATTCGTATAACTTAAACATAGGGCCAAAGCAGACCAACCACGGGGTTTCTATACATTTCGGCTGCAGCGCCATCCATTGGGTTAATTTTCTGCAAAACCATTGCTTACCATAAAATGAATACGTGTTATGAATTTCAACCTTAACTCCAGCGGCACTAATCGGGTAAATTTTTATCAAAAGAATTTTCCATCATACAGGTACATAGCTCACATTTAAAATTTGAACGAAATCGGTTAATAAATACGATTTTTATAAATAGCTCTACTCCAGCACCACTTAGCGAGTTTTCTAGTAGCATGTAATATATGTATGTCAGATAACCTCCGACAATCTGACGGAACTCTATTCAGTGGTTTTTGAGTTTATTCCGAACAACGAAAACGGCTATCATTTTATGCAAATAGGTATGTAGATATAGGGCAGTCTATAACGAAACCCGAAAAATCAAAGCTCCATTCTTTGTGCAAAATTTAAAAAAATTCTTCAAAATTTTCACATAAATTTTACCTTTTACTAAAAACTAAAAACAAAGTTACAATATTTCAATGGGATTTAGAAATCTAGAAGGAAATTGTTCCCAATCGAGTGATACTTGCGCGTTTACGTAAATGTATATCGATGCAGTCTTTCCAATAATTACCACTTTTCGCCATAAGTACGGTATTGATAAAAACTGTAGCTGTGTAGAATTTCAGGACGTTAGCGTAAGTAGTTCCAGAGATAAGCTATATGGGAAGTTCAGTTTGTATGGAAGGAAGGAGCCACGCCCCCTTTCCCAATGCATTTGCAATATATACATCAGTGCTAAGTTTCAGTTCCCAGCGTAATTGGGTTTAGAGATATATTGGTTTTTTACAGCCCGATTCTGTGTACTTGATAAATTTAAAATCTTTATAATTTGTCAATTTTTTATTATTTATCAAGAATTGGTATTCTAGCACAGAAATCAAAAGCCCTTTTCTTGATAAATTATCAAGATTGAAAATGCTATTGACAAATTGAAATTTCATGTGAAATGTATAAATTTTGTATCTTAATAAATTTGTTTCTAACAATTAAATACTCCATGTGCCGGCATTTGAACCTGCGACACACGGAATTATAGTCGACATCTCTACCTACTCGGATACGGAAGTCAAAAGCTTTTTCGCTTTTAAATTCATATTTTTCATATGTGACAATGAAATCAGTTGCACTCATGTGGAAATCAGTTCCACTAATGTGGAAATCGTAGAGCTTTTGTTATATAAATATTGACACAGAATGCGAACGAAGCTTTTGCTTGATACAAATCTTGATGAAATTTCTTTACAAAAAATTTATCAAGAAAACATAGAATTGGGCGGTTAGTCTGTATAAGAATTTTAGGAATATCCCGAGCTACATACCGAGTAAATTTTTGGTCAGAATATTTATTTTCAAGATGTTGCCAAATATGAACCAAGTCGGTGCAGCCGTTTAGTAGTTTAGTGAAATACATTGTAAAGAGAACTGTATGAAATTGTAAAACGCGACGTCTCAGATTTCTTAATTTTTTGGCAGCAACAACGAAAAGTTTTAATTTTTTTTAGCGAAAAACCTTCCACACAGAAAAAAAAAAGTTTGTGGTTATATCAAGGCGAAATTTTGAGAACGGTCCGTTGCTAACTCTAAATATAAGCTACGACACACTGGAAAAAGTTAATACGTTCAAATATCTAGGAATAATGATCGACGATAAACTAAAACAAAAAAAAAAAAAAATGGATTCTATATTTTCAATTAGAGCTCTAGCAAGATGTACATCGGTGAAAACTGCATTTAACTCCATACATTAGCTTTTGCGTGATGCGCTTACAAACACACAGACAAACATACCAAAATTTTATATTTGGCTTCTGTTGATCTAATAAACCCCCTATTAATTTTTCTTTAACATATTCTCAAATACTCTCGTTTGATTCCCATATGGCAACACTTAGTTTATATTATAAATTTAACTGAATTAAAGTTCAAGAATATTTCATTTATTTTACAAATTTTAATGAATACAATTTTAGTTTGATGCCAATATTGCAATATTTAATTTATGCTATCAATTAAATTAAATTAAAGTTTTCAAATAGGTGGCAACCTTCCCCAAAAATATTTTCAGCTGTAAGCCTTTGTAAATTTCTTTCTTTTGACAGCCATATTGCAGTATTCACTTTACCGTATCAATTGACCTAAACTGAAATTTTAAACACAGGTGGCAACTCTCTAATTTCTTCTTCTATATTGGAAGCTAGATCTCTAGCGATACATCGGTGAAAACTCTGCATTCAATTCCATGTTTTCGACTGATGTGCGTACAAATATACAGACAGACAGAGATTCAAAAATTGTTTATTTGGCTTCTGTAGCTTAAATAAAAACCCACCATATTAATTTTCCTTTAATATCTATAAGGTACAGACATCGACCTGTTACAATTTTATTATATGTATAGATGTAGATATAGATTTCATTTATTTTATCAATTTAATACAATAAAATTTTTCAAACAGGTGGCAGCCCTCCCTAAAAATATTTTCGGCAATATAATTTCCTAACCCCTTTCAGTTTTATACCCATATTACAATATTCAATTTATCTTATAAATTGAATTAAATGTACATTTTCAAACACGTGGCAAATCTAAAAAAGTATTTTTGGCTGTAAGCCTTCTTTAGCCTCTTTCTTTTGACGCCCATATTGCAATATTCATTTTTTTTATCAATTTACTTAAACTCCAATTTTCAAAAAGGTGGCATCTTTCTAATTTTTTCTTCCTATATTTTAAGTTAGACCTCTCGCAATACATCGGTGAAAACTGCATTGAAATCCATGCATTCGTTTTCGAGTGATGCGCGAACAAACATACAGACATACAGACAGACAGACAAAAATTCTAAAAATGGTTGATTTGGCTTCTGGTGCTCTAATAAAGACCCCGCACATTAATTTTTCTTTAATATCTATAATGTACAGACATCGACCTGTTACAATTTTATTATATGTATAGATATCTAGATGTAGATTTAGATTTCATTTATTTTATCATTTAATTCAATCAAATTTTTCAAACAGGTGGCAGCCCTCCCTAAAAATATTTTCGGCAATATAATTTCCTAAACCCTTTCAGTTTGATACCCATATTGCAATATTCAATTTATCTTATAAATTAAATTAAATGTAAATTTTCAAACAGGTGGCAACTCTAA